GCTCTTAATTGTTCCTAGCTCCTCGTTATTTATACACGCAGTATGATAAGAAATATGAATCCCGTAGCTGCCGCGCCTAGCAAAGCACTGACGCCAAGAGTCTACGAGAATGGGCCACAAAGTTTTGTTCGCAACAGGGAAGACCGGCTGCTCTGCGTTCACACAAAACCACCTGCTGCCGTCCATTATCGCTAGCTCTCGTAAAGCGCGTTGGCCAAAGGCTCCATGTTGTTGTTTCATATTTCTTCAACCTAGTTTTCGAGCAGTACTTTTTTAAATGCTTCCTAAGCTTATGTTCATTTTTTTTACTCACGGGCTGTAAACATGCTCATGCAAATCGGAGCGCATTTAGTTATTTTAAAGTGTTTGTTCTCATGTGTTTATGAAACGTTTGCTCGTTTGTGCAGGTGTGTGCGAACCATTTCGACGCTTCATGCACCGAGATGACATCGTAGACGGATACAACGACGGGGAGGGTGATCGAAGTCGCCCTGCAAGTACGGCGGTTGCGCCCTAGATCTGTGCCAACGTTATTTCCCGCCTTCCCGTCTTACCTTTAAGTGCCAGATTACAGCTCGAAAGAAACACCTGATGCTAAGAAAAGCGGGCAAAAAGCTTCCCAACTGGGCCGTGCTGTGAGAAAATCACTGCCGTGATATGAAGCGCAACAGCCGAGAGACCGCTTTTCGTCCCTCGAAGAACGAAGGGCTCGCCTGCAAGAGGTATCAGTGTTGCCAAAGTGAACTGTGATCCATAAAGAAGAGTGCTTGATGTTTTTGAACATTATCGACTGTCGTGTACCTTGGTTGAATGTGTCATTGACAGTGTTTGAAAACCTTTAAATTTCTGCCAGCTATTAAGGATCACCAATCAAGAACCTAGGTAGCGCTGTTGCACCGGACTCACTTCAAAAAGTGAGTTCGTTGTTGGAAATATTGGACAACCTGTGCATGCTCTCTGAGGAGCACTGCAGTTGCCACCACCTTTTACTTGCAATACATTCCCTTCTAGACAAAGTAGAAGGTAGCAAACTGAAAAGAAGCAACAAGCAGTAAAGTTCATGAAGGAGCAGCTGCTACTGCTTTCTACAGAACGTATTCAGTACAGCGCACAGGTGATGGTGTTTGCATGCATCTTGCATACAATCTCACTGCATACGTACAAATTTCTGAGAACAAGTGTACTAACTTTGCCCCACCCAAGCACTATTAGCAATGTGTGCTCATCTGCTCAAACGTGCCCTCAAATTAATTCCTCTGGTGCCACTTTTCTTCAGTATGTTTCCCAGAAATTCAAACATCTGCAGCCACATGAGCACACTGTGACGATAACGCTTGAAGAGATTCATAGCAAGCCTTGCTTAGGCTACAAGGGTGGGAACATATGTGGTGCAGCAGTCAATTCAAATGAAGTGACCACGTTAGTGCACGTATTTATGATACAAAGTCTCCTGAGTGTTTTCAAGGAGGTCGCGCACCTTCTTCCTGTTAAAACTTTACAGGGTGATGATCTTCATGGCATGCTCAAGAAGGTGATCTTGTGCCTAGAAGAGATTGGATACAGGGTCATAGCTGTTGTATGTAACAACAACTAACTAAACAGAAATGCACTGAAAATGTTTCTGCCAAAGCCAAAACTGAGCCCTTTTTATCCGCATCCGGCAGACCCATCTCGACCATTATTTTACCTAGAAGATGCTGTGCACTTGTGTGAATGCATACGCAATAACTGCCTCAACAAAAAAAATGCTGGGACTTGCTTTTTTTTATCCACTCTTTGAGCTCTCGAACAATGATTTTCGTCTCGACTGCAAAATGACTGCCTCATTTAGGCATTTGAGAGATTTGCATAAAGTGGAGTCAAGTCTACTCCTAAAGTCTGGATATGGCTTCACATTGAAAGCTCTGAGTCTAAGCAACTTGGAACGGCAGGACATGAAACTGGTGCTGCAGGTTTTTAATGTGCACGTAGCCGAAGCTCTGACTGCTCGCAGTGGTGAAGTCAATTTTCAACATGTGGCAGAAATGTCGGATTTTATCGGAGTAATTTTTCGCTGGTGGAGCATTGAAAATGTGAATACGCCTAATAAAGGCTACCATCACCGCATTGTTTATGAAGAGCCCGTGGCAGGCCATACAGAGGACCCAAAGGCAAGGTTTCTCAGTGCTTTTATCACATGGTATACGTGTGGGAAGTTTATGGGCGTGATACTCGGTTAGCTACCAAGGAGACACATAGCACCCTGTGCCTCTCAGCTCAATCCCTTTTGGCATTGGTGAAGTACTGCGTTAGTGAGCTTAACTTCAAGTACGTACTACTTGGGGAAGTCCAAACGGACCCCCTTGAGAGTCGTTTTGGACAATACAGACAGATGGCTGGCGGGCAGTACCACATATCCGCTCATCAGCTTTGCGAAACATATGGCAGAATTCGTCTCCAGAATGCCCTCCCAAGGATGAGCAGTGAGGACCTTAAAGGCATCGAAGAAGCACACAACGTCACAGATGTGGACACCTCTTGTAGTGTTGACGTTCTTGATGCTGACCTCGATCAGCTCAGGGCTCAAATGCTAGTGTTATGTTGGTGGCTACTGTACACACGCTGCAATCAAAGTTCTTAAGTGCAAGAGCTGCCAAGAAGACTTCGTAATTACTGCTAATGAAGCTGAAACAGAAGAGGACAGCCACTCCTTAGTCACGAAACTGGATCGAGGTGGCCTCAAACTTCCCTCTGCCCTTGTGATTACAGTAGTTATGTATACAGAGGTTGTATTTAGAAAGCTTACGACGCAAAGAAACTCTATCCAGTTTCTTCATAGGTTAAACCAAAGAAATGTCGTTCGGCAATTGACGCTGCACTGCTTGCCGAGGCTTGAAGACATAGATACGTGCGAAAATGGGCACACGCATGATCTCCTCATCTCATCGGTTGCAAAATGTGCCGAAAATATAATGCTGAACAATCTCTGCGGGCACAGAAATGACCGTTTACCCATTGGGAAAGAATAGCAGGCAAAAAAAAAACAGAAAAGCCCAAATATTTCTTGAAAACTAATTTTCCGGGCGATTTGCTCTTCCTCTTTGAGTGAAATTGCACTGAGGCCAGTTTATTCCAAAGTGCTACCTAAATTCCTTGCCATATTTCTGTCACTTGTGCAGTGAGCTTTGTTTTAGTTTTTTTAATTGGTGGTGCATAGTTATTATATCTCTTTATGTGATCTTGGCATTTCAACTTGTGTTCATTTTCTGATCGAACCATCTCAGTGCCTGCTGTGGCAGTAGAATGATCCATGTTTGGTACCTCGAAGCTGTGTATGCTCTTCTTGGGCACTCCCTGTACAGTTATATTCTTGTGCAGTGTGATTTTTCTTTGTGCATTTTGTCTCATATGATATGCAGAAGTTCATATAGTTTTGTTTGTCTGACTTATTTATCATGACCTACCTATCTCTTTAGTCACAAGTGTGTTTTGGGTATTGCGACTTTTTGAGTTTTGTTAAATGTACAATGTGAGGTTTTGTGTGTCGCTACTACAGTAATAAAGCAATAGTATGTTTTCCGCTAACCTGCTATGTACATAGGAGCTTTTCATGTTTCAAAGCTTGAGCATGTTTTGGCCGTTCAATGTGTTTTTTTTTATTTCGTTCAATTGAGACCCAGACACTGCCTGTTTTGACAAAAGAACAATCTTGTCTCTGATTTGATACGCAGGGTCAACCTCTTTTAGTTGCGATAACTTTTCAGCGTCAAGTGCAGTATTTTTTGCTGGCTGTCGTCTCTCTCGGTCGAGAACAGTGTGCACTGTGATGTTTATTCGAACGGCGTGTGCTGGTGATCAATAAATACGCATGGCGCTATTCATTATATTCGGTATTTTTTGTTACCCTGATAAATCATGCAGACCAGGTGATCGAGGAGGCTTTAGCTGAAGTGAGGAGTACGCGCGCGGCAAGCGCTCGCAGCTGGCGCCGCCACCCAGCCAACGTAGACCGGCGCGATGTGACGTTGTCGACGTCACATCACGTGACGCGCAAGCCTGAAGTTTACCCGGGAGTGTCGATTTGGTCCCGCGACTTGCGGGTAAGCAGCCGAGTACCTTAGCCACTAGACCACCGCGGCGGCGCGTGCAGGTACCATTACGAAACCCGTGTTGACATGGTGACAAAATTTGCACATTTTCACGGTATTTATATGCTCAAGAATAATGTGCTGTAGTATTTCACAAATCGTGCTTGTCAAGTATATCTAGCGAAATTTAGTGACGTTAAGTTCACTACCGATTCATGCATTGGAAAGACTAATGCCGTTTATTAGTCTTTGGACAGTGACCCTTTGGTTAGGTATGTGCCAGTTGCAGCGCTTACAGTGAATCTTGTTTCCAGTGTCATGTTTACGCCGAAGTTTTGTCTGTCAATAAACTAAGTGAGACGAGGAATGTCAGCACCAAGCAACGTGCCGCACAGTACATCCAATGCAAAAAAGATGTCAACTGCGAAGTTCGCCAAACATGAAACAAAGTGTGCATAGTTCTAACGGGACGTTGCTTGCGAGAACACAACTGGTTAGTAAACAACAACGCGCGAGGGAGTATGGCAGACCACTGAAAGGGCTGCAACTGCCATGTAATTCCTAACGAGAAAATTGTTTTGGGGTGCTCTGGTGGTAGATGGGAGACGGGGGTCCTAGAAGCTGTTTACATTGCGCGCGCAGGGAGGCAACAAAAAGTTGTTACCTTTTGTCGTGATAGAGCCGGCGTACGCGATGATAGTGCTAATTTATTTTACATGTAAAGTATTCGTGTTTTCTCTAATAAACATCTGTTTATAGTTTGTGCTCGTCTGCTATGGGTGTTCCTTCTGTTATTGCATGTTTGCGCAACGTTTCATCTTCTAGTGCGGTTCATTATTATGTTTTTCTGGTTAAGCCGTACAAACTACGGCAAACTGCTAAAGAAGTGCGCCCAAAAAATACAGCGTTCACTCGCGCACAATCGCGAACTACCTTCGTGCAGGCGGTTCCTGGTGGTCGGCAGTATCGATACGGTGTCTGGCGATTCTTCACATAGCACAGGAACTGGCACTCGTCGTAACCCTGCGAAAATTAGTAATGAAGGCCTGTGTGTCCCTTTCACATGTTGCGCCTTGTAGTGAATATAAGAACAGCGCAACAGGCAACTATACTGACGGGGATAACAGACTTTGTATGCTATCTTCTTCAGTGATTGTCTGTAGCGCTGTTCTTAAATTGATTATGTACTACCAAAATGCCCAAATTTCTACACTTACTTGCACCTTATGGCGTCTAAAAAGTTTTTGGTTAGGATCGTGCCGGTGGCACGTTATCTCTTCATCCGCTTTTCTTTCTTCACCTTTACAGAACAATTACTTCTAATAACATCCCCTATACTTCTCTTGACATCATTGCCTGTTATTTCTCATTATTATTGTGTCTAAAAAAGAAAACGAACCTTCAAATGTACACTTCTTTCCTATGTGAATAACTTCTTTGTCAATTCTAAGAGTTTAGCCTTCTAAGCTAGGTCTCAGCTACAACATCGTATTTTAAAAATGATGACCAGTGAACAACTCCAGTTCAATTTATGACTGCAACTTTAAAGTAAATTGAATCGAAATGTAGTCCTTCATTTTTTACAGAAGGTCCACCACCAGAAGCACTCGTGTCGTGTTGTTCTGTTAAAGTTCAATCAGTTCATTATTCATGACAAGAATAGAGTAGAGTGCATAATAATTTTACAGTTGGGACACCAAAACTCGACATGAGTTGTGAAAGGGGTCCTTATGACAAATACTATTATTTATACCTGTGTAAAATTACTCTATACATAGGTTATTCTAAGTGATGTGAGTCACTCTACATTGCGTAAAAGGAAAATAAACTACGCACAATGCAAAAGAAAACATTAGGAAAACAAAACAGAAAAACAAAACGCTGAACTCTGCACAGTACATGAAAGGAAACTAAGCTTTTTTTTTCTTCCAATCTAGGAATCGCAGAGCAAGTATTGGGGCAGTGAATTAGAAAAAAAATATGAATAGATGATGAAGCCATTTTATGAGGAACTGTATTCCAAAGACTGATTTCAGTACTTATAAAAGAAAATGCTAAACATATTTGCGCGTGCACGTGGAAATATCGGCAGCGGTAAGAAAAAGGAATGTGTTGTATAGTGCGTTACGTGATGCGGAAATTGATCTGGTGAACTCTGCATATTTTTCAGTAATTGGTAAGGAGAAATTTTGTTGCGGAAACGAATGTGACAACGCAGCGTTGAAACTAAGCAAATGCTTTTTCTTTCAGTTTTTTTTTCTAGAGCTTTTCATTAGTATGAATATATATTAACTAGTACAGCTTATCATCCTTTTACAACCGCCCTGTTGACCTTTCGCGATTGGCTAGTTTGGGGCCCAAAAGAGCGATTCGGTCCAAAAAGAGCAAAACAGAATAATTGGTATTGGTGTATTAAAGTTATGAAAACCTACTTTGAGTGGCATATTTTCGACTCTATTGGAATAGAAATTGCCCAGCTTCTGACTTGCAAAAAAAAAAAAAACTCATCAACTAGAAGAATCCCCGTTGTGGAAAGCTCTAATTAGTTGCATTGAGGCAAATCTCGAAAACCGCCATTAGAACGACAAGCTACGTCTATGAAACTAACACACGAAGATGCTACGTACGTATAGTCAGCCAGGAAAGCTGAAGATTTCATTATTTTACGTTTGAATAAGGTGATGTAAATGCGGGTTACCCCAGCCACCTGTTCTCTATTGTATCCCACCATTTCCCAATTGACTTGAATGTAAACATTAAACAGTAGTCTGTCTGGTTGGGTAGGTGAACTGAGAAAAAAAACTGTTTTAACTCCAACCAAAGTAAAGTGCATGAGAACACATACGTTACCGCAAAACTTGGGGTCATTAACCACCGCCCGAGAGCCTTCAAAACACCGGTGCAACGTCGCCACAGTCCCCCCTGAGGAAGGAACCAAGTCGGTTCCGACACGCTGGGTGCTTACGTGTTTTTGCGTACTTTACTTTGGTTGGAGTTTGAAAAGTTTTTCCCAGTTTTACCCGTCTCATTATTGCATGTTTCAAAGCGAAAAGTTACACTGCTTACGACGACATGGCAAATGTGTTCATTTTTTACAAACCGAATGTACAGCCCTAAATCAGTCATTCACACGTAGTCCTCCCAATGAATTCATTTTAGTAGTACTTGAAAACATAACCTGTGCAATATCTTATATATTATTGTGTATGCATGATACAGCATTTTAAAGCGGTACTTCTAGAGTAGATCATCATGTCTTAGTAGGTAGATTATTTCCCACGGGGAGCTGGCCGGTTGAGTTCAGAAAAGCGTGTAATAATATTGAAACGAGTCCCACCCTGATAATCTCTACTACGTAGTAACAAGACAAACAGGAATATTCTCAACGTGATTTGATTGATATGTAAGTTTAACGTCACAAAACCACCATATGATTATGAGAGACGCCGTAGTGGAGGGCTTCAGAAATTTCAATTCTCAGCGGGATTAGTGGCATGAAAACATTTGTTTTTTCGATGTTAGACCAAACAATTATGAAACTATTGGTTAGTAGCTTGCTGGCTGATTGTGTTGCCTTTACTTCCATTACGCATGCAGGGTGTTTTTGAGGCAACACAATGAACAAAATCTTGCTTTCCCTGCGAAAGTCTATAGCGTTGCCTTTTGACAACGAAGAGTTTTTTAAAAGCACTCCCACTTTAACAAAAATATGAGGTAGTGATCCTCAACATTTTTTTTTTATACTATGCGTTATTATTAACCTAAAAAATCAGGAATTGTAGCACCGCTTCTTCGACAAAATGTGCCCATACGTTCCTGCCAACAAGCATCGGTGCGACCTTTGCTGTTTATATTTGGAAAGAGGACCTATTTTGCACTGAGAGTGGTTTTTTGCTGACCTCTCTAATGACATCGGCACACGACGTTTCAAATGTACAGATGGACGGAAGACAAAAGTGGGCAAAAAATAGGAGGGCCATGGCGAGAGCGAGGAAAGATGCCACAAAGCTATGTTCTGTGGGGTGTCAGTGCACGTTAAAGAAGAAAGGGTCGAAGTTTTCAGAGCTCTCCGTTATGGCATCTCACATGATCATAGCGTCGTTGTGAGACGCAAAACCTCGGTTAGTAGACATAGTATACCAGTATTACCGGGAAATTGGGCGCACCATGATAGCAGGGTCGAAGTGCGCACGCCCAGATACGTACGGTACCCGCAACGCTTACCGTACGCGTGCTTTTTTTGAGGTTTAACACCGTGTTAGCGCAGTTGTACGTAGTGTACGTAAAACACGGCGGTAATCTCGGACACCCGCTTTGCTGTGATTTTGGAGTATTTGTTGAAAGATTCACTTTGTTCGCAGCAAACAATTGTTAAAAGTGGCTTCGCTTGCCTTCAGTCAGCTTAGACGAGCGAGTATTACGAATAAGTTGGCGTAGTTTTTGATATAGCTTCCCATTTCGAACGTTTCTAGACCTAACTACAAGATTGGTGTAAACAAATCGGCAACATAGATGTTTTCGCTTTTGGTGCATGGTTCATATTATTCTTATTATTACTAAAGCAAACTTGTAACAATGACTCATGCGGTGACACAGGCAGACATTCTCGTTTTCTTTTCCTTTTCACTGTTCTTACTTCCCAACTCTTGGTGTAAACAAATCGGCAATATAGATGTTTTCGCTTTTGGTGCGTGGTTCATATTTATTTACTCTTATTATTACTAAAGCAAACTTGTAACAATGATTCATGGGTATGGTGACACAGGCAGACATTCTCGTTTTCTTTACCTTTTCACTGTTCTTACTTCTCAACTCTCCGATAGGTGGCACCCCCATCGCAGTTAGGGCACGTAAATTCTTTCCCGCTAAACTATAAGACGCTGTCAGCCACGAACGTTTGCTGCACCGTAACGCCGTTCCCTTAACCTCCGCTACCACACTAATGGTAAACTATAACTCTGATTGATATGTCGGGTTTAACGTCCCAAAACCACCTCATGATTATGAGAGACGCCGTAGTGGAGGGCTCCGGGAATTTCGACCACCTGGGGTTCTTTAACGTGCACCCAAATCCGAGCACACGAGCCTACAACATTTCCGCCTCCATCGGAAATGCAGCCGCCGCAGTCGGGATTCGATCCCGCGACCTGCGGGTCAGCAGCCGATTATCTTAGCCACTAGACCACCGCGGCGGGGAAAAACTATAACTATTTGTTATAGAGAGTACATAAAGCAACAAAACGCCTCAAAGGCACGCCAGTTGACGCGACGCTCTTATGACATATTTCGATCTTTACTCGGCATCCGCAATGGCGAAAAAGCCGTGCAAAGCTGCTAGGCTTGAGCCTTCAAAGACATTTAAAACTGGTAAACAATAACCACTTGAAATAAATTTTGGTTCCACTAAGTATAGAGGCACCAATCGTAATGCTTTCACGAAAAGGGAACTCTCATGCGAACGAACAAAAATCGCTTGAGGATTTTGACTGTACAGCGTTTCCATGAAACTTCCATAGCAGTAGCGTTCCAGCAGTTTTCGCCAATGCGCTCTATGTCGATAAGGGTAAAAAGGTACATTGGAGAAACTAATGAACAAAGACTAGTTTGTCAACGTTTTACTTATCACCTTGAGAGTTGCAGCTTACAATAAAAAGTTGTATTACGTGCCAACTTCTGACATGCTTATCTTTTTTTTTGAAATCTCCTAAGTTGTGTATATTTTGAGATATGCATCATCGAATGCTGAGGACGAAACCGAAACTAAACGCACTATGTGTGCGAAAAAATGCGGCGTCGCTGTTACGTCAGAACATAACTACCTGTGACAAGAAAGTGACAAAATTTGAATGTACGCAGTCATGATTGAATATTTTTGTTACAAGCAGCACGTCAGCTTACATGCTAGAGCGGATTACCTTGGCTTTGCATTTCATGCTGGCTGCTGATCTGTTTCTTTGGATAGACCTGTGCGCAAGAACACCAAACAATCAATGTTTCTTTCTCTTGAAAGCTACAAGCTTTCA